GCGTTCCCGCGCTGCCAGTTTTAGTGAGGTGCTCCTCCCCGCTACACCCGCTTTTTTGGTGGGAAAATTTGTGGGAACGTCATGCTTTGGGCGAATTTCAATCCCCGCCGCTGTGATCTCAGCGGGCTCTGAAGTTGGGGAGGACGAACAGAGGCGCAAAACGTCATTGTGTCAATCTTGGCGTTTATCCTGCTTTCTTAAAAACAACCACTTTGCCCAAGTGCACTGAAAGCCTCAAATACAAGTAATCTCTCTTGATAGCACTGTGGCAGCCTGTTACCGAGCTCAGCACATGTTTAAAATTCTTCAGGTTTCATTAGTTAATGTCAAGTCCAGGTTTTGGACCCTCACCTCTGGTCTAGGCTTTCGGCATATTAGGGCTGCTTGGGAATTGCAAATTATACCAGGTGCTGTAACGTACAGATTATTTGTCTGCATGGTGCAAAACTCCTTTGTTGTAATACCGCTATTAAAATTCTCAACACTTAATTACATTTATGTAGATGTTCTTGAAACCGTATTTTTAGTGGTTCCAAGCGTGTTACAAGTTACTGGCACATCTCACTGCATTGCCTCTTCATCGGGAAATAGTGCTGGTCAGTACACACAAGTGTTACTCTGCCTCTGCTCTGTATACACCGAGTAAGAGCAATCACAAGCCATAGTGAAACTGTAAATATATGGTTCTGCCAGACTCATTGGGGGGGGCGGGGGGGGGAATGTTTCTTTGGAAGCATTCAAAATGTATGCACATGCAAACGCTGCAGAAATGTCTCCATTTGTGAAAATTGCAAATCAACTTGAATTTCTTTGTAAGAAAGGGTTGTGTTATTAAAATTTGAATGGGTAGCTTGTAGCAACTTGCTCCAGTGTGAATGCCGTAGCTCTATCCAGATGTATTCTCTCGTTGTGGACTCAGGCGCTGATTGCGGAGGAAACGAGCAGCAAGCTTGCCGAGCAGGAGGAAGACCCCGAGAAGTTCCGAGAAGCCCTGGTGAAATTTGAATCCAGATTTAATTTTCCTGAAGCAGAGAAGTTGATCACCTATTATTCCTGTTGCTGTTGGAAAGGAAAAGTTCCTCGGCAAGGCTGGCTTTATTTGAGCATCAATCATCTCTGTTTTTATTCCTTCTTCCTGGGCAAAGAATGTAAGTGTAAATGCGTAAGAAATCTAACGCTGGGGAGAGATATAAATATAACTGTATTTAAAAGCAAGAATAGCTAGATTTTTTTATGACAAGCCTAGTTTGCCTCTGAAGTTTAGTTTCTGAGTGTTTTGTTGTTCAGCTGAAAGATCCTGTTTAATTTAGTGTTCACTTCATGTTTATATTTTAGTATGAATCCAGTAATGAAAATGAGACTATAAGAGCCTGCAGACATAGCTGCTATCTGGTTCTTTTTCTTGCCTTGGTGATGCAGCCTTAAAATGTAACAGACCTCCTACAGATTCTGAAATAGAGACTTTTAGTGCCGAAAACAGTGAGAAGGGACAGGACCCTCCCACCGGCAGGGAAGCACAGGGATCGCTGCCGGGTGGCAGGGGACGGCTGGTGGGGCCCGGGATGCCGGGGTCCAGCTGCCTGCCTGAAAGTTGCCCAGGAAACATAACAGGGCAGTGCCCTGGAGAGCCAGCTGAAAATTCAGAGTTTTTACGGGAAAACGACAGCAATGTAGGGATTTCATTGTGTTTCTGAAGGGCAGCGCAGGAACGTCACGAGAAGCGTCTCCCGGGGTTTTCAGACCTTCAGGCGGTGGCAAATTTGTGTGTGATAGTGACTGCAACAAATGTACATTTTTAAGAAGCGAGTTATGGTCGTGGTGTTCCTTTACAGAGGAAGGGTCATGTCATTATGAAAAGCCTGTGTCAGAATAGATGTCAGAAGGTAAAAATGGATGTAACAGATGTTAATTCAAATTAATAGTTAGTTCAAATTAATGTTGCCATTTAAACTCTATAGCATTTCTCTGTTTAGTAAGACTGTGCATGAGCTGATAACATTTTAAGTCCTATTCATCCTGTTTCAGCTTCATCAAGGACAGTAACATAAACCTATGTTGCTATAAAGACAGCAAGAATTGTCAGTTACAACCATTAGGAAAAACATGTACTGTCTGGATTTAATGTTGGGAGGGCTAGGCGAATGAAACTGTAGGTTTAAAAATTAAGTACATAAAAAATAAGGAAGAGAGTAATCGGTAATTTCTAAGGTTTAAAACATACAAATTCATGCTTAGAGGTCTTTGTTTCACTTGTATTATTTCAGGCCAGTTATTTTGTCATATCTGCAAAAGGTGGCAGAATTAGATTTAAAATGCTGGCAAATTTGTTATTCGTCATAAAAACAAAAGTTGAGTTTTTCTGGAAAGACTGTAATGGAGTTTCTTGATACATAGGACATATCTGAGTTCTTGTTTAATCTCCTTGTTTTCTGTTTAGTATCAAATAATATCCTTTGTGAATTATTTCTTCTTGCTATCATTGTAGGCTTTCCCTCATTAAAACTGAGATATCCAGTCTGCCAAAGCACACAAAGCAAACATGATAGTTATTAATGATAGATAGTGGGGGAAGGAGGGAGAGAGAAAAATCCTTCATAGTGTTTCAAAAGTTTTGTTTATGCAATACCACGGATTGTGAAATGATACTGGAAGTACAGCATCACACTGTATTATTTAAGAATAGATCGCTTCTCACCTCTTTTCATAATAATTCATTATGAAAATGAAAAAACCCACACAAACAACTACACATTTGCAGCTTTTCATTTTGACCATGGACAATATGCTGTTCATTCGCTGTTGCAGTCAGTTGCATTGCCTTTGTGTTCCCATGCATTTGCACGGAAATGTGAAATAAAAACCTGAATTATCTTTTGGTTAAACAAAACTTCTCTAGCTCGGTGAGAAGCATTATATGTTGACGTGCTTTCCACCTCCCCAATTCTGACAAAGCTGATTGCTTCTGTTTCAAAGCTAGTATTTTGTCACATTTACGAAATACTTGCATTACATTTAATAATCCAGATTTACTATAGTGCTGGTTGTTACTATTTGAGAAGGTGATGATGATTACACGTAGAACAAGTGATTCATTGTCTTTTTTTCCAGGTAGCAATCACAAATTAAATTGGTTAAATCTGGTCTTGAAAATGTTGTTAAGAAATCACATTTATTGCATTCTTCAATACAGCACGGGAAAAAAAACAATATATGAGTTGCAATAAAAATAGTTCTTAAGTGTGTTTTAACTCTACAAAAATCCCCACAAATTGTAGACTGAAATCTCTTTATAGGCAAAGCGTTAAGTCTTCTGCTTCTGGCAAGTCTGTCCCCTTCCCCTTGTTTTATTTTATATTGAAATGACCTGGAATGCAATATTGGTACCTGTTGTCGGCTTTTCATAAAATTAACTTACGGCTTATGTGAGCATGAACTCCGTGGAACACTTTTTCTAGGACAAGTCCCTTTTTATCTAAGCCTCTAAGTATTTGCAGAATTTCAGAGGCTTAGAACATCAGATATCTTGAACAGATGTGCCAGGGTTTCTTCACATTTTTTAATTAAACTTTTGTTTTCCTAAAACTTTGAAGACTTTGTACCTTTCATCAGTAGTTTGGGCCCCTTACAGTCTGCTGTGCTGTTTCTATAACCAGCTCTGTAGAGCCTATGTGATTCCGACCTGCGTGCACAATAGTGCTATTGCTACGGCGCTATTTAATCTTTCTTCCCTTGGCTGTGCCCGTGCGGACGATTTTATGACCGTGCGCAACAGTTTGTGCGTGTTGACGCAGCTGTGCTTTATTTGAGTAAGAGAAAATGTAATCTGCAAGTAATCTTGACAGCTGTGGTTCATGTAGTACGGAGAACTTGCTGAGGGTAGCTCCTCAGGTAATTAATGATCATGGATAAGTGTCATTATATATATGACAATGTTTGTTATTACTGCCTTTTTATTGCCTTATTGGCATCAGGAGACCAGCGCGGGATGTTAGGGGGTGTAGTCTTGACGCTATTGGCACAGAGAATCCTGGGAAGCTTCCAACAGTTGTTAAGTAGAAATTTAATCTATTTTAAAGTCTTTTCCAGCCTAATTTCTACCCAGAGATTTGTATGAGAGAGGCAAATAACATCCTGCAGTGGTTATATAAAATAAGCTGACTCTGTTTATCATGTGCATTTTTATGATTCAACAGTGTTTAAGTGCAGACAACACTGTCCTATACTTCTTTTCTATAAACAAGTCTGACTACAGTTAATGTTCAGGACAAGATTTGCCTGTGCGCCTTTTATGTAAAAAGTAACCGAAATGGAAAGATCCCAATGCCTAGGTGGCTTTTTTTGTGAACGCCGTTTATAGTAACACTTCAACTTTATAAAAATGTCCATGTGCAAAAGCTTCCTTTTGTATGTGAGTTAGCTTTATTTTAAAAGTTCAAGTACTGTGCGTGTAATTGGGTTTCCACCTGCCTACGGTTTTATTTCTGGGTGATTACAAAGCCCTTCCCTATTTTCTTCCTGTTCTTGAAGTGAACTGTTTCTTCTGGTAGTAATGACGCAGGCTGCAGGAGTGACTTGTAAAGGAGGCAGGAGCACAGTGTATGGCAGGTGTTCCGCAGAGGTAGGACTCCCCGGTCCGGCACTTCTTGGGAAAATAGGTAAAATTTTGAGGGAGAGATTCTGAAAAAGACAGTCTTTTAGAGTGGGGGAGAATGAATGTAGAGTATTAACAGGCATTTCAGCTTTTGCTTGGTCTTTGTAAAAATGGGTCTCTCTCCTCTTCAGTTGCTTGCATTTCATTCCGAATTTGCTTATTTCCCAAATCTGAAAAATGTAAGCAGAGTTTCCAACCCACTTTTGCTTTTTCTCCGATGGCAGTGAAACTCATCATTCCTTGGGTTGAGGTCCAGAAGCTGGAAAGAACCTCAAATGTCTTCATGACCGACGCGGTCCGCGTCACCACTCCGAATAAAGAGCGTGACTTCTCCACGTTCCTCAATATCGCGGAGGCTTTCAGGATCATGGAGCAGCTGGCAGATGTGACGCTCCGAAGGCTACTGGATAATGAGATCTTTGAACTGGATCCAGGCTTACAGGATCCTACTCAGATTACCAAGAGGTAAAAAGCTGAAGTGTCGTATGAGCAGAGGTTCGATGGTGGGCTTCATGGTTTGCCTTGTTAGCTGGGTAAGATTTCAAAGGTTTACTTGATTGGGTGCAAAAGAGATTTTATAAGGTATTATGTATCCAATAGGTGCATTTTAACTTGTGTGCAAGATACTTTTTTCCCATTTTATATTTTTCCCTTAAACATCACTGTGGTTTTTTGTTCATTTGTTTTAAAAGTACCATTCCCCATAGAAGGGTAGATTGCAGCAAGGGATATTTTCCATCTTCCGTGAAGAGCAACATTATTTTGTTTATAATTTTGGCTACGCGTGGGCTTCCCTAGGGCCGTCAATTCTGTAGAGTTACTGCTTTTGATCATACCTGAAACGTGGAGTTTCCCACTAGCGTGATTGCCATAGCTGATTTAAGCAAGCAGTTATAGGACTGAAAAACCCACAGGCTGTTGCAGCAGATTAATATGCTATTGTCAGCTCTACCCCATGTGTCCCTGAAATGCATCTCTGCATTCCTCTCCCACTACAGAAATGCGCTGGGCTCTCAGGGGGAAGATTGATAACTATTTCTCTGCTGGTAGCGCAAGACACAACTTTGTGTTTTATTTGCTGCTGTGGGAAAGGGGAAGGGAAACTGCCCAGAGGAATTTTAGGTGGACAGGATGGAATAGCCCAAACTGGAATTTGCCTGGGGCATCAGGGTTAAGGTGCTGGTTTAAAATACTTCTTTTCTGAATGGAGTGTGAGTGGAGTGCTTATCCCCTCCTAAATCATACCCTTTCCCGCTCTTCTTTCCTCTCCCTCTGCCAGCGGATTGGAGGGAATTACCCAGGTGTTGCTTCCTGGCTAAAACAGAAGGAATGTGTGGTATCCTTTCCCAAAAGAGAGAGACGTGTCCAGTAGCTATTTTATTGTTTCTGAGGCGCGTTTTTGCAGTGGTGTTGGGTGTCCCTCTCAGCTAAACACTTCTGCAAAGTTTCATAATGGAGCTTAAAACAATAAAATGCACTTTCTCTGCAATTTCATACGTACACATGATAAGAAAAATCACTGACACCAGGATTTCATCCATGATATCATCAAGGAATTCATTTGAGGTGACGCAGTGGTGAGCAGCCGCAAACATCTTTGCAGGCTTTTTTTTTCATAGCCTGGCTTCCTTTTAAACAGAAGAGCTACTGTTGTTTTTACAATGTATGCGTAACTGGATGTTGTTAACATTGTAGGCTTTTGGCCCCAAAAATGTAGGATATGTAATTCAACTAATGTAGGGTATGGCTTTGAGTAATAGGTTGTATCTAAGCCTCCTTCCATGTTTTACCATTCTTCCCTTCTCCCACTTCTGGACTGAAAAGCTAGATGCATGAAACAAGGAATGTAAATCCAGAGGAGATGAAACAAAAAGCTGGGGGGAGGTATTTTCAGCATCTACTAATTTTTTAACTCATTATTGTCACTTCACAAAAGAGTTTTTGAATCAAGGGTACTAACTGAATGGAAAACTACGAAGAAACTAAAGTTACAGTTGCAAAGAAAACATATAAGCTTAGTAATATGCTATAATAAGGAGGCTCCCAGGGAATCAACCTGTAAGTACCTTATGGCATTTTTGAAAAGTAGTGTGTCTATTATCAAACAAGCAACAGAAACCATCCCACACATTTATTCAAACAGGTTTTTTCCTCTCCTTCCTGCCAACCTAAAAAAAAAAAAAAAAAAAAAAAAGAAAAATGTTGGGGGGGTGGGCAGAGGAGAAGGAAAGATAAAAATATATTTACTGCAGAATTCCTGGGCAAGGTGTTCTCCAGCCTGTGCTGATGTGCTGTAACTTGAGATGGCAGAAGGGAAAACATGGAAACATGGAAGATGCCAAAATCCCATTTCCTCTGCATGAATTAGGTAGTGATTGGATAAGTTGCTGTTTCTGGTGCCCTTTGTCACACTTCGGCAACCACTTTGATGTAACGTGATTAAGCAAGACTGTAGTTTGAATAGTGGATAAACTGGTTTTTAAGGCTAACATATTGGGGTGGGTTGAACTCTTTTGGTGTGTGAAGTTTTTGTTGCTGCTTTTTTCCTGCAGCCATTGGTAGTACTATAAGAACAACACTTTTTCTCTCAGTATTTTTTTCCCTAATAATTCTCTATGTTAATTCATGTGCATGATTTGAAAGCAAATAGTAGTCTATCAAAATGAAAGCAATAATCCACACATCATTAAAATTATTCCAGCTGTGTCAAATTAATGAAGTTGCTTGTTAGGCTTTGTTTTGCAAGAGGCTCATCTCAATATTTTTAAAAAATGTATTTTTAATGTCGTCATGGTCTGCATATTTGACATTCTGAAGACCAGAAACCTTTGCTGCTGTTCCTGAGGCTCTTGGGGTCATCCTGCTGAGCAGTGGAGGGACAGGGCTCAGAGAGGCTATGGGATTAAGCCCACAGTCTATGACACAAATTATATCATGGTCCGAGTCAAACAAGTTAATACACAAGTTTCCGTGCTGCTTAATGAGAGGATAAGGTGTGGAACAGTGGATTACAAAGGGATTAATGGTAGTTAAGTTAATTGCCATAAAAAGCAAAGTAAAGCTGAGGTGTTTGACAACTGCAAATGCCATTTCTTGCAGATAGATTCACGTGCCATGCCATTATACTGGACCATAGGGTAACTATTTTTTCTGTTCTAGTAAGAAGGTCACTAAAATCTCTGGTATAGGTTTATTGTACTTCTTATTTCCATCTCTTTCAGGATGCGAGCATATCTGTTGCATTCCTCAAATGTAATGAGGAAATTGGCCAGAGCAGGACCTGCAACTTCATAGAATCATAGAATGGTTTGAGTTGAAAGAGATCTTAGAGATCATCTAGTTCCAACCCCCATCATGGGCAGGGACACTTTCTACTAGACTAAGTTGTTCAAAGCCCCATCCAACTTGGCCTTGAACACTTCCAGGAATGGGGTATCCACAACTTATTTGGGCAACCTGTTCCAGTGCCTCACCACCCTCATAGAGAAGAATTTCTTCCTTTTATCTAATCTAAATTTTTACCCTCTTTCAGTTTAAAACCATTACCCGTTGTCCTATCACTACATGCCCTTGTAAAAAGTCCCTCTCCAGCTTTCTTGTAGGCCCCCCTCAGGTACTGGAAGGCTGCAATAAGGTCTCTCCGCAGCCTTCTCTTCTCCAGGCTGAACAACCCCAAGTCTCCCAGCCTGTCCTCACAGCAGAGGTGTTCCAGCCCTCTGATCATTTTTGTGGCCCTCCTCTGGACCTGCTCCAACAGGTCCATGTCTTTCCTGTGCTGAGGGCTCCAGAGCTGGACACGGGACTCCAGGTGCGGTCTCACTAGAGCAGAGCAGAGGGGCAGAATCCCCTCCCTCGACCTGCTGGCCACAGTGCTTTGGATGCAGCCCAGGATATGGTTGGCCTTCTGGGCTGCGAGCACATGTTTCTGGCTCATGTTGATTTAAAAGCTTCAGTGCTGGTGTCAATAAGGTTTCAAAAGTATGATATGTTTCTCCAGGTTCTAACCACCTTGATTTCTTTTCTTCATGGCTAGCTGTGAGTTGCCAGTGAGAATGGCTTTGCTTCATATGAAGGCGGAGAAGGTTTTTAACACTGATCTAAGCTGAATGAAAACTGTTTGAAGTGTCTTGAATTGTAAATGTCACTTCAGCCCACATTAATTCTTTCACAAAGGGAATCTGAGAATGCCATAAACCTTCAGTAACAAGGAGGATGTGACTAGAAAGAACCTCATTTTATATCATCTGCCAAGCAAAAGGCAGCATTTGGATTATCACAGTGTCATTCATGACAGATGATTGCCTAACCTGTTTTTAAGGATTTCCAGTAATGGAAATGTAACGGAAATATTAGTATCCATACTGGTACTTCATTGTCCTGTCATTGAAAAGTCTTTCTGAAGCCTAACTTGAATCTTTAGTGCTGCTTTTTGAGTTTGTTACGTCTTCTCCTGAATAGATCAGACGTTCTCTTTTTCCTTAGAATAACCATTTGTGTATTTGGAGATCGGTATAGATCTCCTTTTTCTTTTCTTCTTTAAAATTCACTGCCCTAGTTCAGCCCATTTTTTCTTATTCGTCCTAATTTAGGACCAATAATTCCTATTGGTCCTATGTTAGCCCTTCTGACTGCTCTTCTCTGGACATTCGTCGCTTATCCCATGCGGCTGCAGGCGTGGGGTAGTGGGATACAGGATTGGCCCCAACACCTTACCAGCGCTGACCAGGGCAGGAGCAGCATGACCATCTCTGCAGCAGCTCCAGGACTGCCATTATGCATCTTGCTGGCCATGGACTTCTGCAGCCTGGTGCAGTGCTTCTCTTCCTCCTGGGTGTGTGAAGTTGTTGGCTCATGTTTGACTTGTGATCCCTTGTAAAGTTTGATAACGATAATCTCTGATTCATCGTGAAGATTGCTGATGAAGACGTTGAACAGAAGCTATTCCAGGACAAGACCCCCAAGGAGGTCTTATCAATACAGCCTTCCAATTTACCAGGGAGCCTTTGAGGTCTGTTTTTTTGGGTACTCTTTTTCAACTGGCTTGGTACAACAGTTTTTTACTGTGATCCAGTTTTATTAGTTCTATGTGAGGAAATACCAACTTTCATAAAGTCTGGCTAAAATATCCATTGCATCTCCTCCATCTACGAGTCCAGTGTTCCTGCTACGTAAGGGAATGATGTTCAGTTTCCATGTGTCCTGACAAGTCCATGCTGGCTCTTGTCAGATAACTTTTCTTAGCTTGCTTAAGAGGAGTCTTTCTTGCCATGCAAATTTAGCAGTTCTTCCAATAAACAAGACGTATATCATTGGATGCATTATTCCCAAAATCTGTAACTTTCTGGAGTCTGAGTAGGAAGAAGAGTCTAGTAATTGGTCTTTAAAAGCAAGAGGTCAGCCAGACTGTTTAGATGTTAGATAGGCAGCAAGTGACTCAGCAGAGCTAAGATCTTCCCAAGCTGACTTCTGTCAGATTTAAAGCGGAGAAAAACGTTTGGCAGTGAGGACATAATTTTAAGTGTCCTGATACTTTTAGGAATTTTGTTAGTCTTGTATGTTATTTCCTTTAATTTAAAACTCTTGGAAGGTAATGTAGGGGTCACACACAAGGAGTTATCACAGTTCAGACTTGCCGTTCACTTTGAAGTGCTGGAGTTGGAGGCAGTCCAGGATCCTGTAACGCGCAAGTTGGGAACTGCGCTTGGAAAGAATTGCTGAGTTTTCTGAAAAGTAGGGAACAAGGCAATTGTGTCTTCTCGCCTTTTATTCTTCTGTTGCATGTGTAAACACTTGGTAAACATTTTTTTTTGGTAACAACAGCATTCCTTTTTCTTTGGTACAGCTCAGTACACTGCATTTGCTTAAAAAGCAAGCCAACATGGAAATGGTTAAGTTAGAGGAGAAAATTTCAAATGGATTGGGCCGCAGGTAGAAAGGTTGCATTTCTGTTTGGCATTGGAGGTGTTGCAAAACTCAAAATGGAAGCTGTGGGACGTGGTGATGCAGGCCAGTCGCTGCATCTTTGCTGGATCATGTTTAAACAATTGCCTGTCTTGTTTTAGGAGCTAATTTTGTTTGTGGGTTTTTTTTGAGTTACAGGGTTTGGGTTTTCTTAACCAGCTCTAATTTTGTTTGGCTGTATTTATAAAGGGAAGCAATTGCTTTAAGCCCTAGAATTTGCCTGCCTAACAGGAAATATTTTCATGGTGTGCCACTTTCTAATAAAACCTCTTGTTTGAGCCCACAGCTGTAGGTGCTGACAGCATTTCATCCCCGTGCTACCGGGGATGAAATTTTTCTATTTTTCTTCCCGGGATCCCTCCCACCAGCAGGCTGGCCCCCGTTTCGGCACTTGTCTCTGGGGCAGCCCTGGCTGCGGTGTGGTCTCTGCGGTGGCCCTGCGTGACCCGGTGGCGTGAGTCATGGGGGGACAGGCAGTTCCAGGCGTGTTAGGGTTGGCAGCCTTCCCCCGGTGCGGGGTGAGGGAGCTGGACGCAGCGCTTGGTGAATTTACTTGGCTTCAGATACGGGAAATGTCATTCTTCAGCTTAAAAACTTGTGGCTTCTTGTCTGAAAGAAGCCTGCAGCCCCAACAGATGCAGCAAAATCCTGAAAGCTCAGAAACTGCAGATTTTGCCGCATTAGAAACAGTCAGCTCTTAAATAACAGACAATCTCTGCTTCAACGGAGGTCCCGCTCTTCTATATAATGCTTCTTTTCGCATAAAGGTACAGAAATTTTCACAACCGAGCAGATCCAGGGAGGGTCTTACCTTCTCAGCACAATAGCAGGAGAGCACGGCTCTACCCGGACCTGACTGCAGATGCTATCAGCAGCATTCATCTGCGCTGTGCAGAAATGGAAAATATTTTAGTGGTGAGTTAACTAGGAGGCATATCCTGATCCAGCTTTGTCACAATAGCAGATCGCTGCGGGCACTTATCAGAGTTGCTTTCGCTGTGGAATTTTACTTGGGAACAACCTTTTTGTCTTCCTTCACAAAGAGGGTTTCTCTTTGTTCTTTGTGAAAAACAGGAGACTATTTATCTGTTTTCCTTGGATAATACTATTAAGGAAGATAATGCTTGAGAAGGGAACGGCAGCTGAACGCTGGTCAAGCGCATTCTGTCGTTTCTGTTGGGCGCAGACACAGATCCTCCCTTCTCAGGTCTCAGTTTGTTCTAGGTTGTCTTCCGCCTTGCTTCACGTGGCTTTAGGTTTCTCTACAGTTCAAACTGAAATACTACCCCCCCGCCCCCCCCTTGATTTACCTACTGAAGCCGAGGCTTTATCTGTTTCAACTCATTCTGAAACAGCAGGGCTGGGGTAGGGGGAGAGTGTATGCAGAAGAGGAGGATGAAGGAAGGAGCGGAGAGGGGGTTTACAGCACCAAGGTACCACTCCCTGTTATGTTTCAGCCCACGCTTTAAATTCTTTCAATGGAACCAAGTCAAGCTTTGGTGAATCATGTTTGGAAAAATTGACTTCTTGTAAAGAAAATGATAGAATTTAAGCCCTGACATTTCTGGAGCTGCTGGTGGTGAGCTAATAGCCGTGGCCTGTTTATAATGTAATTGCATAGATCTCTAAATTACTGCAGACTTCTTCATTAAAAAAGGAGTCAAAAAAAAGATCCCCAAAGCCAAGTCTGTATAACCATAGCTCAGTAATGAAAGCTTCATTTATTTAAATTTCTTCTCTGCACATAAATGTGGATGGGTGACTGGAAGGAAGCCAAGTCCAAACCGAATGTAGCTGGTGCTGTTACTCCCAACTGAGTCTGTAAGTAAGACCTGAAACTGTTGTGTGTTTTGCAACTGGTCTGAGGGCTCTCAGAGGCCGATACCTCCACAAGTCAAGGATGCGATGATGTAAATGCCACCGTCATTAACTCTTCTATTACTGACGACTTCAGAAGTACCCATGGAGCAAATGCATTACTTTTGGGTGCAGGTGCAAATCCCTGGGGTGATGTTGGTAATGCTACTGGGAAGGGAAACAAGGAACATACATTGAGCAACAGAGATTAGCTTTATGTTCATCAGATGAAAGATTTAGTTTTCTCCTGGGCATTGAAACATGTAACTCTTTGAGTTTGTGGAAAGTGGTACAGCAGCCATAGAAAATGCATGGTTAAATAATAATTAAAAAAAAAAAAACGCAAACCAAAACCCCAGGTGGTTTAAATTGGTGTCCTTTCCTTTCCTAGTCACTACAGTAGTTACTTTGACCTTGTTGTTAAACAAGCAAGTGTTGATGATGATTCTTTTTGGTATCTCAGAGTCGGTCTTTTATCGATCTGTTTATATAGGCAGTGAATATTGCTGTGCACGGTGCTTTTATTCCATATTCCTTGCTATTGGTGAGGCTAACAAGAAAACGAACATTTGCTGGATGTCCTGACCTTCGGGTTGTGATTCGCTCTTACTGCTTTCTCTTAAGGGGTCTGGAAGCCAGAGCACAGAATGAATTCTTTCGGGCCTTCTTCAGATTGCCCAGGAAGGAGAAGCTGCATGAAGTTGTAGACTGTTCTCTCTGGACGCCGTTTAGTCGCTGTCACACAGTGGGAAGGATGTATACTTCAGACAGTTACATCTGTTTTGCCAGCAAAGAAAATGGCTGCTGCAATGTTATCATCCCACTTAGAGAGGTAGAGTTGTTAGTTTGTTTTGTTCTGGGTCCGTATCTGCCTCGTTCTGATGTTCTGCGTCACTTGACTTATCTGCAAACTATCGTTTGATGGAAAAGAGTAGGATGCTTGTGTGTATTGTGCCTACAGAATTGTTGTAAAGGTTGTTCTAGGACTCATTAGGGCATAAGCTCCTAAAAATACGTATGGGTAACTCAACGTGAACCTCAAACTGAAGGTTCAACCTCAAACTGAAGGTATGGGTAGGTAATGCAGCAGGACAGAGCACTGCAAAAGCAGAGCCTGCTCGGTCCAAGACTCAGTCAGTGCTCCCGTCCCAGCTCCACAAATGCATATGTCCAGCTTGATGTTGATGGAGACTTCAGCTTGGACCCTGCTAGCAATATAAAAGTGTCCTTACCTGGCATCAACACTTAGAAGTGTTGAAGCTCTCCCTCCAGAGACAAACTCTAGCAAGACTGGGGATACTTTGCAAACCTGTAGGGCAGAGAGAAAGAGGGGATGTTCTGGAGGCAGTGACAAGCTGCCACTTTTCCATGAAGTCAGAGACTTACTTAAATGGAATGGAGGGTGCGTGGGAAGGTGGTGGGAGTAGAAGAAGAGAAGGAAGCTGTCAGCAAACACGTGCCTGATCTGCTGTGGATACAAGGCTGTTACGATCTTTTAATTAAAGCTTCCCTTTCATCCTCGACTAATAACAGAGTAACATCAAAATATCCTAATCTTCCACTATTACAGAAATAGAAAACAATAAGAGAACAGTGTTATATACCTAATCAAAAAAACAACAAAACAACTGCTTTCCTCTGTCCTTGGGAGTGTGAATGTAAATTTCCTCCTCCATCCACCAGAATTTGATCAAATTGATCCTTTTAAACCTGTTTTAATCATCGCTCCCCTTTCCTTCCTTCCTCTCAGTCCACTCTGCAGAAGTGGGCCTCAGAGTCATCTAAAAAAAGAAAAAAAAAAGCATCTGAGATACTTTTTGGTGCCTTCTTTGAGCTTCTAAAGAGACCATAAACTTCAGGTGGTAGGATGTGTCTGAGCAAGGAAAGGCAATATGAATAACCATGTTTAAAGCATGTGTGTAAATGAATGCTGTGTTTGTACATTTTGGTACATGTAGAATATTTGAAGATGTTTCTGTGGATGTGGCGCATAATGTGTTTTCTATAATGTTTCTGGAAAAGGTAATCAGTATAGAGAAGATGGAGGACACAAGCCTTCTCCCTAATCCCATCATTGTTAGCATAAGGAGCAAGACAGCCTTTCAGTTCATTGAGCTGAAGGACCGCGATACTTTGGTGGACAACCTGCTCCAGAGGCTACAAGAAGTGAACTCCAGCAACCCAGTGCACTGTAACAACTTGCAAAATAAGAACCAGGTACTGAAATTCTGGGTTTTCTTTAATTATTATTCAGTACATTTATCCATTGGTCTTTTCTCCTGCCTTCCTCAGGGGTATGATCTTGGGCCAGTGCTGTCTGATGTCTAATGACCTGCCTGATGGGATGGAGCGCACCGGCAGCATGGTTGTGATTGACACAATGGGGGGACCCAGTGAATATGCTGGGGGGCAAGGCTGCCCTTCACAGAGACCTTGGTGATCTGGGGAAATGGGCTGATGGAGACCTCATGAAGTTCAACAAAAGCAAATGCGAAGCCTGACAGAGTAACCCCATGCAACAGGAGGGGCTGGGGGTGGGCTGGCTGGGGAGCAGCCATGTGGAAAAGGTGGGGGGATCATGGTTGACAACTGGTTAAGCTTGTAAGTCAGCCGTGTGCCCTTACAGTGAAGGGGCCAACAGCATATGGGGTTGTACTAGCAGGAGTGTAACCAACAGGTCAAGGGATGTTACTATTCCCTTTTATTCAGCACTTCTGAGGCTGGTCGGGAGTACTCTGTCCAGTTTTGGCTCTACCCCACCACACATGAAAAGCATTGACAAATTGGAGGAAGTCTAGTGGAGGGCCACAAGACGGTCAGGGGCTGGAGCACATGCTTTATGAGGAGAGGTTGAGGGAGCAGGGCTTGTTCAGCCTGTCTTCCACTAGTTACAGAGAAGATGGACCCAGACTCTTCTTGGTGGTGCCAGCTGAAAGGTGAGCAGCAATAGTCACAAGTTGCAGCAAGGGAAAATCCAATCAGATAAAAAGAGACAGCTTTCCCCACAAGGATGGGCAGAGCTGGACCAGGCTGCCCAGGGAGGCTGTGTACTCCCCTTCCTTGGAGCTACTCAACTGGACTGGACACAGCGCCCAGCAACCTGGTCTGGGGGGCCCGGCTTTGAGCAGGGGATTGAAGAAGACAGTCCCCTCCAACCGAAATTATTCTCTGATTCTGTTTTTCAAACCTTAACCAAAGTAGAAGATTGTTTGGTAGCTTGTCATGAAGACACTTAGAATTTACTAACAACTTCTGTTTTAAAGTAACAACCTTTTTTCTGCTGATGGATGAAAAGCTGGACATGAGCCAGCAATGTGCGCTCACAGCCCAGAAGGCCAACCATATCCTGGGCTGCATCCAAAGCAGCGTGGCCAGCAGGTCGAGGGAGGGGATTCTGCTCCTCTACTCCGCTCTGGTGAGACCCCACCTGGAGTCCTGTGTCCAGCTCTGGAGCCCTCAGCACAGGAAAAACATGGACCTGTTGGAGCGGGTCCAGAGGAGGCCACCAAAATGGTCAGAGGGCTGGAACACCTCTCCTGTGAGGACAGGCTG